ACAAAATCTCACCCAGAAGACATGTTTTAGGTGGACTCAAATGCACTGCAGCTGTTAGCTAGCTAAGTAGAATTAGTCCAAGGTGGCAATCTCTGACACATGGATAGTGTGAAAATCATGAGCTCAGCATCAGCTGTTGCACTCCACATCATGGTTCCTGTTGCCACACACACTACTTGTTAAGGCACTCATCACCTTAATGCATCACAGGCTGACTATGAATCAGCTGTGTTGTGAATAAGACAAATCTGACAGCAGGATTACATGTGATGTGTGACACAAATGAAGCAATCCTTCTAGTATCTGGTAAGATGTCTGCAAGAGTACTGCATTCAGTTTCAGCAACATACTTTTAACAATTGGAGCAGTTTAGCCTAGAAAGATCAGAAAGATCAGAAGAAAGCCATGAGAAAGATCGCCACTCTCAGAAGCACAAGTTGCAGGGAAAGATTTGGGACTGTTTTATCTAGAGAAGAAAAGGGTGAAATGGTAACAGCTTTCATGTCCAACAAAGGCTGCTGCAAAGAGAGGGGGGATAAATTGACAGCTACTGTGGGGGAGGCAATACAGATTGCTAATAGGAAAATCTGCCTAATAGAAGGGCCGAGAAAGCAGTAAGCCAGGAAGACTTCGGCATCCACAGTACAGGAAGGCTTTACAAACAGGTTAGACAAGCATCTGTTAGACTTGATTTAAACACAGTTCATTCTGCCTTAGGAGGGGAGGTAGACTAGACAATCGCTTGAGATCACTACCAGAGCCACTTGTTTTGCTTCTGTTATAAATGTAAATAGTAAAATTACTCTTTCCTGCTCCTTTCATCTTGTCTTTCTAACTTTTGAATCATTCCACTGATCTTCCATCTGCATTTCATGTCACATCTTTCTGATCTTTCCATTATCTATCCCAGTCTATGTCTTGATCCCATCTCTGCCTTTCTGATTTTGGCACTGTACTTTATTCATGGCATTGCTTCTGCTAGGATCCTTCCTTTTGCCCAAGTGCAAAGCAATGTGCTTGTCAATTCAATTCCCTACATAATCAAAGCATTTGCCTATAACTGCTTAACTAAACATTGTTTCTTCATTCACCTCCCCTAAGTGTTTATGCAATGGGTAAAAATGACAGTGTTGCAATTAGGTTCTATTTTTCTTTCAGCACCTCCTTTTATTATTACTGACCAAATAAACTCAGAGATTGCCACCATTTTCCTTAAAACAGGATCATTCAGTGTACAAGAATACAGCAACAATGCAGAGGAGAAGCTTACATGGATTACCTTTTAAATAACAAAAGGCATCACTAGTGCTCTCATGTTAAGGGAATGGATATAAGCAAAAACATTATGTGTGGATACAAAGCTTTATGGCTTTTTCTCAGTTAATCTTTGGCTACTTATGTAAAAGAACAGACAGTGGTTACCGTATGTTTCTTTGCTGGTATTTCTGCTTTCCTCTGGTGCTTTGAGAGAGCCCAGCATAATCCATCGGCATGAAGCAGAGCCCCACTGCCACCCTTTGGGCTGAACTTCAAGTTACTAAACAAGCCTTGTGTCCCTTGTGATACACTTCTGCTTCCCATCTTTCACACTGACATGACAATAAAACACCATGTCCTATAGAAAATTACTATCCTTTTGCATTGCAGCTATCGCAGTCATGAATCTGGGAGTCCATTCTTTTGACTTTACAACCACACAGTTGCCATTAGATGCTGCATTTTCTACAAATACACACAGCAAATCCAGAATTTTTCTATGCGCTCTCTATATGCTTGCAACTTACTGCCTGAGTTAACCTCCAGAAGTTCACTGCCAAGCCCACAACCTTCTTTTAGTTCAATAACAGCCAGCTGGTACAAAGACATGTTGAAAGAAAGGAAAAGTAGGATTCTATGGAGAAAATTAACTTAATTTCTGTCTTTATTAGAAGGAGGCATGGTCCAGAAGGCCTGGGATTTAAAAGCAAATTTGCCTTGTCTTAAATGTGATTTTCAGAAGTAGCAGATGCACTATTAAATTACTATCAGCTTTACAATATACTTAATTTGTTAAAAAGTTCATTGGTGAGCAGTTTGTTTCTAATATACAATATGTGCCATCAAAACAGCTATGGGCATCTCTATTAGGTAATTATTAAAAAGAAAAGGTAAACTCTGCTTACTTTATTCAAGCAAATTGTATCGCTTGTTAGAAATTGCATTAAGATAAATTAGACCACCAATACTAAAGAAAACTTTAACTCTCTTCAGCTTTCTATGTCTTCTACATTCCCTTTACATCTTAGATAGCGCTTCAAGAAACTGTATTTTGAAAGAAAAAATGTTCCTTTCATTAATTTTTTCTTTTCATCTCCTTCTTTTTCTCTTCTCTTCTCTGGCAAAATGAGTTCAGTGTTCACTAGCAAATGAGATATTCAGTATAAGTGAACAATGGAAGCACTTAATAGACTTATTTCTTGCTGGTGGATCCATTTCTATAATAAATATTTTTCAAGCTCAAGCAAAATATAACTTGACTGATCTACCAAATATATTACCTGATAACATCCATTTGAGTTTTGGAGGGTGTTTTTCCAGTCTTACTTTGGAGAGGAAAATGATTTGCATAGTTCACTCAGCAATAACTTAAGGATTTCTTGAGGACAAACACAGATGTTTTCAACTGGATGATTGTGTGTTACAAATAAGTTTTACTTTTGATTTTAGATAGGAGCCTACTTTGTTAAAAAGAAAAATTAATAAAGGAAAGTTGAGCCTTATTAGGTATTGAGTTGGACCATTTATTAATATTACATATGCAACTCTTCTCTATTTTCTGAAATACAGACCATCCCCAAAAAGGAAATTCATAGTGTTAGTCACATTAGAGCCTCGTGGGACATTAATAAAGCCCTCAGAGAATGATTTTTAAATATGTCGAAGGACTTGCAATTTTATGCATGTGCCAGAGTCCCCAGATATTCAAGACACATTCAGATGGGAATCTATGAGGATTTATTTTCATTTTCAGTGTGCTACTCGATGATGTACATGCATAGCTGGGACTGCAGCTCAGCAGAGCCAGGGTGAACACCTTGCTGCGCTGCAAAGCCTCCAACAGGACCTGTTCAAGCCACACAGATCCTCCAGCACCCAGATACTCAGGCCCTTTTCTGCCTGAATCCACACCTTCCCCTAATGACCAAAAGCAACTCTGTTGGCAGCTCTCTAAATTACAGGATTCCCACAGCTCATTGCAAGAATGGTGCAGAGCAGGCACTGATGCCAACTGAGGGCTACATAGCTACACACAGAGGTAGTCCAAGCCAAAATCTTCATATACAATTCTCAGAGTAAGCATTTATGTGTCCATCTGTAGTGGTTTGAACCTTGTTTTCCCCCAGAGGCTGAAAAGTGGTAACCCCCAGGGGTGGAAACCCCTGGAAGTTTTGAAGTTCTGTCCAATGAGCGCTCCTGCAGAAATGTAAACATGTCACAAGCACCGGAAGAGAAGGGTTGTAGTTTTGGTTAGTGGTAGAAGAAGTAGCCATGTTGTAGGAGCTCTGCAAAGGGGCCCGGAGCCCCTCGGGGCCTCTGGGGCCCCCCAGCCCCAGTTGGGGGCTACAGAGACTTGGAACAGTGTTAAGCTGGACTATGTGTCTGTAGCTGTGAGCTGGGAGATGTTTTCCATCTTGAGTGAGCAGAAACAGAGCAGAAGCGGCGGCAGCGTCCAGAGGTTATGGCTAAGAGCCAGGACAGATAAGAACTGAACCGGAGGAAGCAGCAGAAGCTAGCAGCAGAGCTACGGAGTTCTGGGGGTAAGAACTGATATCAGAGCCCCCAAAACTCCTTTGAGACCTCCAGGAAAGGAGGGACATGGGCTCCTACTAAGGAGAGGAGCCTTGGAGTGCTACAGCACTTGCAGAGAGGAGCTGAGAAGCTCAGTCGTCCTGAGAGCTGAGCCAGGATGGTGTGAGAGGTTGGCCTTGGGGGCCCTCCCTTGCTGCAAGCTACAAAGAAGCTCGCAGCCTGAGACAGGGCACAGAGGCCCTGCAAGGAGCTTGAATCTCCTGGAGATACCAGACTGTCACGAAGACCCCTCTGCGTCTTCATGATATGACGTGGTGAAACGGCCTTGTCTGGGGTTACGAAGCCCACGGAAGACCCCTTTGCCTGCGTCAAGGGGCCGAGGGGGATACCCCCCTCGTGAGTGCTGGCAGAGATCCAGCTATCAGCTGCTGCATGCATGAGATGAGGAGAACCTGTTGCCTTAGAAGAAGCTGCTGCCCTGAGAGACTGGAAGGGATCTGTCCTTCTTTCCCTCCTGGACTTTTATTTGGAGGGGAGAAAAGATCTGATCCATTGTAAATACTATATGTCATGGTAGAGATAGTTGTGATTTTGTGTATAATGTATTAGGATATTTATTTGTGCAGTCATTGTAATATATTCCCTTTCCCCCATTCTGAGTCTGGGTGTGTTTTGTCTGGAAAAACCTATCTCACATTGGGTTGAGATGTGGGAAGGGGAATGGAGCTAGGGAATTGGATTTTGGGGCTATCTCAAACCATGACACCATCTCACTAGCAAGGCTTACACCCTACAGCATAGGCCATGGATGTTTGAATCCTTGACCTACGGCCCTTATCTCTAGGTGATAGCAGGGTAGGGGAAAGTCCAGGTTTGATTTTTTGTTCACCAAACATATGCAAGGTTTGGGTCAAACAGTTTAAAATCATGCCAGATTTTTAAAAAGCAAAAACGGTTCTGATTAGAGAAAATTACAAAAGAAAGTGAAGAACATAATATCAGTGTTTTTAAATGGCAGTATGTTTAAATTTCAGCATTCTGAATGGTGCTTCACAGAATAATGTATGCAAAAGGTTCATAAATAGCAGAAGCAAAGCAGTTGTTTTGTGTTTAGCTAACCATTTCACGCATTTCTTTCCTGCAAATTAGAATATCTGTTATTCCTACACCTCTAATAAGGACAGTTACCTGTGATGCAGTGAAAGACTTACCATCAGGGCTCCTGCTAATTAAATTGCTGCTCTAAGTATCTAATTGATGGCCAGTTCAAGAGAGGGGTCTCTCAGGGTCTGCTCTTCGAGGTCTTAGGTTGTCTGGTTTGAGTTCACCTTTTGTAAAGGGAAAACAGCATGTGGACCTACTGCAAGACCTTCGACATTTTTGATTGTGTGTTTGTATCATGGGTCTCACTCTGCAAGTACAGAACATACATACTGCTGTTGAATGGATAATACATTAAAGACTTGGAATCTACCAGGTACTGTGATATATAAAACTTTCAAAGAGAATTTTATTATGAGTAATATATAAATCTATGTTCAACATGAAATATTCCAAGTCCACTGCCTAAATGCTTCACGGAAGGTTCTTCAGAAAATCGCAGAACAGCAATAAAACAAACTGGTACTGACTAGTTGAATTAAGGAAATATTGAGGACAACAGATACTTTTGTAGCTACATTTTATAATATCTCTTCTTCAAGTATTCTGAAAAACGCTTTCCAGGTTCTAATCTGATTAGAAACACACTCCTCCTCAATGTTTTTCTACAGCATAAGTAAGCAAAAAATTACTCTGAAATATGGGCTACCCTTACTCTCTGTGCTCCAATGTCTTTTCCTCCTGTTTTCCCTTTGAGAGAGGAACACTGCAACAGTTCAGCTGAATGTAAAAATCCATAAAATGAATGGAAAAGAGAGTGCCATATGAGAGATGGAGAAATGAGTATTCAGACTGCTCTTTTAAAAATTGTACAGATATCTTCTGAGAGTGTGTATTCAGAAGAGTGTGCAGGAACCATATTAAGCAGCAAGAAAACTCTGATTCCTGAGAGCTATACTTCCAGAGTGGATACCAGTCTTTCATTTTCAAGAGATTCATGTTTTGCTTAGTTTGTTCCTATTACTTTTTTTTTTAACAGATGAATACAAATTCTTCCAACGTGATGGCCTTGGCTCCTAACACTTCTAAGAAAAGAGAGACAGTGTGCATATTTGGAACTGGAGATTTTGGACGAGCTCTAGGGCATAAAATGATTCAGTGTGGCTACCACGTGGTGTATGGAAGTCGGAGCACCCAGATATCAAACCTGATTCCCAAGGATACAGAGGTGTTGAGCCACGCAGAGGCAGCACAGAAAGCTGCCATCATCATTATAGCAATCCAGAGGCAACATTACAACTTCCTTACACCACTAGCAGAAATTCTCCGTGGAAAAGTTGTGGTGGACATAAGCAACAACTTAAAATTAAACCAGTATCCTGAATCCAATGCAGAGTACCTTGCTCAGCTGCTGCCAGGTGCCAGGGTTGTGAAAGCCTTTAACACTGTGTCAGCCTGGGCCTTGCAGTCAGGAGCGTTGGATGCAAGCCGGCAGGTAAGTCTGAGCTACAGGGATTTCCTTTGTCATGGAGTTATTCATTGTATGGCTTCTTATTAGCTAGACAAAACACACATGGGACATACAAATCAGATAGGGTTGAAATGGTATTTTCTCTATAATCCCTCATTTCAAAATAATCTGAGCTAAAATTTCCTTTGGGTTTGTGATATGGCATGACAAGGAATATCAATAGCTTGCCTCTGAACTCAGTGTTTAGAGACGCTAGAGAAGCAAGGAAAGAAAGATGGCAGAGCTACAAAGAGAGAGACAGCAAATCAGGAGGACATGAGGGTTGCATCAGTTGTTCATAGGGGTTGTAAAGTCAAACAGAAAGGAGATAGGAGGAATATAATGAAGCAAGAACAAAATGAAGAAAGAAAAACCAGGGAGGCAAGGGATATGATAGGCCGGCAACAGAAGTGAGCTAGAAGATGAATAAATTACTAAAATTTTCTAAATTAGAATCTATCACCACCTAAGTTTAACACAACATCAGAGTGTGCAAACCATTTTAACCTGCTCCTTAACCACAGGCCAGCAAGTACAGAGCTGGGCATAGGAAGCAACATGACAGCTTATTTGAAGAAAAATAATTTATTATTACCCTATTTTCTGCCACTTTGAGGGACAGTGCTCTTGTACAATGCATGAAATCACCCAGCTACTCAAACCATTACTAGCTTTGTTTTCTGCTGCCATATAAATGGTTTTGGCTAAACCAAAGGTCAAATCTTCTATGCAAAGGCTTATACTAAGCATGTTACACATTATTCTTTCCAGATGTAAAATTTTGCCACTTGAAACAATCTCCTTCCCAAAAGAAAAAAATCATATTCTAAGTTCATGGACCGGTTGGCCAAATGTACCTATAGGCTACTTTTTGCCTGTTTTAATTAAGGTCAGCAGGGAAGTCAGCAAGCAGCCTAGGAAGCTTGTGCTCATTGTCTATATCCAGGACCAGCATGGCAGCAGAGAATGTCACAAAAATCTGTCAAAATAAAACTTCTATTTGTTTTTGGCTGCAGGTGTTTGTCTGTGGAGATGACACAGAAGCTAAAGAAATGGTGATGAATATTGTTCGTGCACTGGGTCTCACTCCACTTGATCAGGGATCCCTCTTGGCTGCTCAGGAAATAGAAAATTACCCTCTGCAGCTCTTTCCAATGTGGAAGTTTCCCATCTTTTTGTCCCTTGGCCTAACTGTATTCTTCTTCTTCTACTGTTTGGCTCTTGATGTAATTTACACTTACATATACGAAAACAACAACTTTTCATTTTTTATTGCAATGACCATTCCAAATCGGATCTGCCCTGTAGTGGCACTCATCCTTCTTGGCTTGGTTTATCTTCCTGGTGTACTTGCTGCAATTATTCAGTTATACAGAGGCACCAAATACCGTCGTTTTCCAGACTGGCTGGACAAATGGATGCTGTGTAGGAAACAACTTGGACTAATAGCCTTGGCATTTGCCTCTTTGCATGCTGTGTTCACTCTTGCTAGTCCACTTCGCTCCTTCGTAAAATGGAGAAACAGCAAACCAATCATCTCCCAGGTGAGTTTTGTTCCCTGCGCTAGGTCTCCCTTTCTTCTGGCCTTTTTATAAATACTACCATCTATTTTGAGCTTCAGAAATACATGTGGACAACCTAATGATCTTTACAATAGGGTCATATTCCTAGTTTCTGTGTTCCTTTTAATCATTGGTATATCTAAAGTTTGTTGGAATTATGCTGAGCTGAGGGGATTTCTGGCCCCAGTCTTCCTTCTAGATAGTTGACATATTAATAAAATAATCAGGGAAAATGTGAACATAAAGAGTACTTAAAAGAAGCATATTTCCCTATTTCTTCATATACCTTTAAGAATAGAATATATTTTTACTTTCTGATTCTACTTAAGAAGAAAGGATCACATATCTGTCTCAATGGCAGATAAACAGATATGTAAAACAGGTACCACAATTACAGATACATGGAAACCACACGTAATATAATGCCTCCTTCTTGAGCAGGCATTCAAAGTAAATCTCCAATGATTTTCAGAGAATTAATGTATAACATTTATCTCCTAGTTACCTTAAAGGATGGGTTTTTTCTGCTTATTGATCCTAAAACTGCTATCATGAAAATATACCTGGTCTTCTTTTCTTTAGGCACTGAACAATAAAACAGAACCACTCGACACGACTAATGCCTGGCTTAGTGACTCTTACTTGGCTTTGGGAATTATAGGGTTTTTTTTCTTTGTTCTTGTGGGAATAACCTCCTTGCCTTCAGTCAGCAACAGTGTCAACTGGCGAGAATTTCGATTTGTACAGGTAAGAAAATGACTTCTAGAAAAAACTTCTTCCCTTATAAACTATGGCCACAGGCAGGTTACTAGAGACTTATGTCTTTCCTCCATTAATATCTCCAAATGTGATGTGTGTACTCTCCATGATCAGATAGTGAAAAAAAAATCTACACAGCAATAGAGCTTAACTGTAGAAACACACAACTGCTCTGATGGCTGCTTAAGGCACAACTGGGATTACTACGTAAACAAGAGAAAGTTGGGAAGATGTGAGCTCCTAAATGACAAACAGGAAGCTGACTTTGATGTCAAATACCACAATTACACTAAGTTGCAAAATAATTTAGCCATTTATTGGGATAATTTTGTTGGTTTATAAAATAATTCACTTAAAATGGATTTGAAAAGTTACTTTGTAACTTGAATCTTCTCACTGCCAAGCATCTAAAGAGAATCTGCAACTTCTGCAGAGTGCAAAAACTGATGTGCCTATAAACAGGTTGCCCTCACTATAATCTCAGCCCTCTTTTAAGAGGAAGTTTGGTGCAAGCTGCCATGCCTCTGCAGGAGCTGAGCTGGATGGGAAGGGGGGCAAGAGAAGGGGAAATTACTGTCAATTAATGTTTTACCAAGGCGAAAAACTTGCACAGTATGGTACTTCTGGATGGATAGCACCAGAGCATAAAAAATCTTGGATCTCTCCGCTGAATGTCAGCACTTTCTCTGCTTTTTCACAAATATGACAGCTACTAGGGAATATGTGTGAGCCAGGAAAAATTATCATGGATATTGACAGAGAAGAAAAACTAACTGTGTTTCCCCAATATCCATTTGAATTAATCTTTATTAGAAACAATAAGAGCCTTTATATAAAATAGTTTCATGTCACCAGTCCCCAAATTGGCACATGCCACAAATCTTACTGTGTTCTTAAAATTGCATTTGTTCTGTTTTAATTTTCTGTTTTAACCTCCACTTCTTTCTCTCTTTCTTTCTTTCTTTCCTTCATTTTCTCCTAGTCCAAACTGGGATATCTGACACTGATTTTGTGTACTGCGCACACGCTGGTTTACGGTGGAAAATGGTTCCTGAGCCCATCAGCATACAAATGGTGTCTTCCAAACATCTATATGCTCTCCCTCGTTGTGCCATGTGCTGTACTGGTAGTCAAATTTGTGCTGATATTTCCTTGTGTGGACAAACCTCTCACAAAAATTCGACAGGGCTGGGAGAGGAATCCCAAATCCTCGGAACAATCAAATTACATTATAAACAAGTCTGCTGTATAATTAGACTAAACTGTATCATCAAAAAAATATTATGAAGACATATAAAAATGAAGTCTTGAGCCTGCTCTATCTGGAGAGGGAGAGAAAAAGTGAAAAACTTGGCCAGACCCTGTGTGAAACAAAGTTATCCCAATGACAAGCTTAAAATACAAATAAAATGAGGCCATTGATTTTGTACACCCCAAGCAGTCTTTCACACAGGTGCAGGGCCTCTCTTCTGCTCTATATATTCCCCCTTGCCTGTTTACCCTCCATTTCTAAGAAAAGTATGTGAGAAGTAAGTGATGATCCATGTCCCTCCTCTGTAGTTTCATGCCTCCTCCAGAGCTGGGCAGATCCACAGTAACCTTTGCTGTTAGGCAACGTCTGCTCCTCGTCCCTATGCTGCCCTTCAGGACTCAGGTCTACATGCACCTACACGCATCCACAGAGATCCATATACACACCTGCATGTATTTCCACACATTTCCCTGTTTCCACCTCCAGAATCTACCAGCACCAAAAGAACAGATGCACAATGGATGCTATCTCTTCCTCCTAGCATTAGTTTATCCTCCATTAACATCTGATCCAAAGAGATGTATGTTCATACCTTAGAGATAGTAGAGTAAGATTTGTTTAGTTTATGTACAATGATATTCAAAGGGTATGGGTCAAGGACTGCTGAATCTTTGCTTGTACTGCTCTACCAGAAATTTGGGGGCAAGGGGAAGGAGGAAAGATCAAAATGGCAGAGAGATGTGAGAAGGGCTCACAAGCCCATGCTTCTCAAGTATAGGCAAAAAATGATCTGTGATCTTTTATGTAAGCAGTGAGTTGTAAGGAAAGAAACTGAAGGAAAATCCTTTCTATATGAGGTGGTTGTATTATATGTCATAGTTATATCTCATGAAGATAATATTGTTGGTATTTAAAAAAAACAAATCTTTGGATATTATATTACAAATATTCTATAAAAATATACATATTTTAAAGACAATAAAGATTTTTTTTTTTACACTGTTGAGTTCTGTTATCACTTCCGGAACCTCTTTTGCTATGATGCAGCTGCTGGTGTGCTCAGTTGCACAAAGATTTTGGAAAGCTTCAGGACAAATAATAAAATGGGATCCTGCCTTCAGACAGCTGCCTGGACTCACCTTCCCTGATCTTTGTTTCTTGGATGCTCACATAAGCAGATCTTTGCTTAGTCAACCAAGTTGGCTGAGGATGTTGTGGAAAAACAGGATCCAGCTGGGATGGTGACCTCCTCTTAAACTGCAAATAGAGGATCCAACAGTGTCCTTTGGATTAGAGAATAAAGAAAATGCAAAATGTGCTTGTTTTTATAGGAAGAGAATTGCTTACTGTTCTTTTGCTTTTCTGTTGTCCTCCTCCCTGTCCATACAAAGAATACT